CGGAAAGAAAAAGGGTTCAACATTCACGTTGTTGGTCAGCTTGCGCAAAGCCCAGATCTCAACGTCGACGACTTGGCGTTCTTCCACAGCCTGAAGACAGACGTGTCACTCGTGGCGAAGGAAATCAGAAAGGAGCTTCTGCATTATTTTGTAGAACCATTTTTATAGAGCAAGAACGAGGCATCGGAGAGTCCATGTGCGAAGAAGATAATGACCAAGACCGCAAGAGAACCCTTTGGAAGGGCGGTGATCGTAAGGCAAGACATTTAGAATCTTGAGTGAACTTGACGTGTACATGTATTTGTAGGAGAACGAGATTTTTCAAGTTTCGGTTCGAAATTTGACGGAACGGGTCCCCGATTCTTTTCAGCTGGCGGTTCCAAAACCGGTTCCTTACCCCGAACCGTTTCACCCCTATTATTAATTTAAGCGACACCGGTTTTAACTTATAAGTCGACCCCTGTAGCCAGAAGAATCGGGTACTACTATAAATGGGAACCGTTTAGTGTTGCTTGTGGGCAGCCTGAAGCTTGTTCTATTCCTTTGTCTAAGTAATTGCGTTTTCATCTCCGAGAGGTCTTTGTTCTCGGATAGAGTAATAATAATACTAATAATAAGGTAAATGGAATACATGTAATTGGACACAGGTGTAGATTAACTGTCCACCGCTGTAACTAGATAATATACACGAATCAGAAAGGACCAAAACTAGACGGTGTCAACTGGACAGAGTGCTGAAAATCTTCCTTGTCATTGAATGTCTCAGTACTCTGTCGGTTTAGCGCCTGGCTGTAGCCCTTTCTGATTTTACGTTATCTAGTTAAAATGATGGGCAGTTTCTCAAAACCTGTAACCAATAGTCTCCTTTCCTTCTCTATAGAGCAGTGTTTGAATTATTCCACACAAGTCTTGCCGCCTCTGTCTTCATGCAGAAAACGCCGGTATCCCAGTCGAGCAGTGCTACGACGCCCAAGATGCCCTCCGAAGCCGCATCTACTAGCCACACGCCGGACGTAAAGAAATCTTTGAAGACACCGTCCAAGAAGAAGCCCCCTCCGATGGCCACTCCAACGGCCGCCACTCCACTAGCCACTCCAAAGGCCGCCACCCCACTGGCCACTCCAAAGGCCGCCACTCCACTGGCCACTCCAAAGGCCACTCCAAAGGCAGCCACTCCACTGGCCACTCCAAAGGCCGCCACTCCACTGGCCGTGGACAAAGGGACACCTGCCGTTGATCCGAAGAAGAAAAACAAGAAGAAGAGGAAACACGGCGATATCGTTGGTGAAGCAAGTAAGTCCTCTTCCAGTGAACCGCCAACCAAGAAGAAGAAAAAGAAGAAACCGGATGCTTCATCGCGGGCACAGCAGCAGCAGCAGCCATCTAAGGCGTCGGTGGCTTCCAGCGTGGGCCATGCAGAAGCAGCTGGACCTGCTGCTGCGATGCCTGCACTGGACCCGGAGGATGCGCAGCTGTAAGTCATCCGGGTGTGTTCAAGGGGATAGATGACCACTGTGTGGCATTGAGTGTTTGCTGCTGTCAGGATATGCGTGAGTGGTGTTTGTTATCTCGCTGATGTTCTGTATGAAGTCACATGAATTTCACTTACTTATCATCCTGGTACTATCACGCTGTGGAAGATTGAACTCTCATCAGGAGTTTTGTTTCTGTAGATCTACCCTGAATGAAGTGGCTCCAAAAATACTAGTAGTAGTAAGAGCTGCACTTGAAGCATTTTTTTAGGATCTGCAGCAATGGAAATCATGAATATATTGCCATTCTGCACCACGCTGGTTGCATGTCTGACAAACGTCTACAGTAATTTGGCATTGAACAGCATTGCCATTTTGCGTCATTCGTGTTGTGGACAAAGTGAAATCATCAGCCGTGTAATGATGACTTTGGAGCAACACGTACAAGTAGCATTTTTCATCTGTTTGGTTTTTCTTGTTGCATTTCAGGCCTCCCAAGCCACAATCAGCTGGTGTTCCGCCGTCGACGGCTAACTCCCAGGCCAGTGGTGCTGTGCTGGCTCCGTTGCCTGATCCAAGCGTGCCTACGAAGTCTGAACAAGCAGTACGTTTCAACACTATTTTTTTTAGTAATTATATTGCATCTTTCAGAAGTGTACTTTCCTCTTGAACATCTTCTCGTTATCTCTAAACAGCTCTGAGCATTTGTGCCCATGGTTGTATTTGTTCCTGTTTTTCTACAACACTTATCATGTTTTTGTCCGCTGCAGGTTGGCAACAAGGCCGAGAAGTCCAGTGCCAAGGTTAAAACCACTCCGTCCGTTGCTAAGCTGGGTAGGGGCATAGTCCTGCCGCCACCCGAGGATGATATCCACGTCCCCGTCGTACGCCTCGGTAGCATGTCTGGTGAGCCCCGGGCGGGTGATACGAACACCGTATTGCCGCCTGCACCGGTGGTCCCTGGTGGTGCCAGCACCGCTGACGCTGCTGCTGCTCCTGCCGCAGCCATTCCATCAGCGGACCTGCCCCGGGCGGCAATGCCTGCGGAGAAGATGTACCTGTGTCCAATATGCCACAAGCCTGATGACGGGGAGGTGATGATCACCTGCGACAAATGCAATAATGATGTCTGGTACCATATGTAAGTAGTCACGCGACCTATCCAGCCTGGCATGCATGCTACTGAGCAGGCTGACAAGCCGCTGTGTTTCTGAGCTTTACAGGGTAGTTTAGACAGTACTATGAAAACTCCCCGGATACGGATTCCCCTATTCCGGACACGTCCGCTTACCGGGCACCTTTCTGACCCATCTAGAGGAACAAATTTATGGCTTTTCAACGAAAAATGGCCCCAAATACTATTGATTCGCAGATTGAGTATTGATTGGCATAGAAAATTGTTTACTTGCATTCAGTAAGTATGCAAGTTCAGAGTCACGGGCAATTCCTAGTTACATGCAATTCCTAGTTACATGCAGTGCTCGGTCCTAACCTGCCAGGGGAATCCCTAGCTACATGCAGTGCTTGGTCCTAACCTGCCAAGGGAATTCCTAGCTACATGCAGTGCTCGGTCCTAACCTGCCAAGGGAATTCCTAGTTACATGCAGTGCTCGGTCCTAACCTGCCAGGATCTGGGGAGTTTTACTGTATAGGCTCTGTGGTTGAGCCTGGCAGGGGCTGTTTAGCTGACATGCTTAGCTAACCGATCGCTCAAACTGGCCTCAGCATATGAACGCCACCGTGTGCCGAACACAAACATGGTTGACTTACTCACGGCTGAAGCGCCACCTTCGTATTGCATGTGCTGCTCATGAGTCATGAGTGAAGATTGTGCCACGAGATTACAGAGCGTAGTCATGACGCGAATTAAGCACCAGCACGATTGTCATGGACTTTCCCTTTCATGATGTGTTTTTCCTCCTGCAGAAATTGTGTTGGTCTCAAAGCGCCACCCACAGACAACGAAAAGTGGTTTTGCCCACCATGCAAGAAGAAAGTCGACAAGAAGGCAAAGAAGAAGAAGAAAGACTCGTCGCACAGCAGTGGAAGTCGCAACCTAGCTCCGATAAAAGTCACTCTACCCTCAACGGCGGGTAAAACTTCAGGAGGACCCACCACTGGCAGTGAACCTAAATCTGCTCCATCAGCCACAACATCAACACAGCCTGCAACGTTCTGATCACTCAGTCTCATCAGTTATTAGATATTACGATAATGTGTCAGGGTCACATGACGGTAAAGCTCAAGCTGTGAGGTGTAAGATTATGACTTTGTTAGCTGTTCAAGCATAATCCCAGCACAATACAGTACTGTACTGCTAAACGTACAAGTACATACATGTACATGTAGTGTGTGCAGACGCTTCGAGGAAGATAAAAGGCTTTCTTCGTAATAAATAGTCAAGGAATGCTGCTTAGAAAGATGGAACTAGCTTGGCTTCAGAAGTATGTGTTGACAAGCAGACAGTTCTCTAGTCATGCACATAGGTATGCTGACAGTAGTTGTGTGAATTCGCTGATTTCACAGCTGAAGGGCATTGCCGTGTGCTGGCAATACCCATGCTATAATTCGTCTTGCTGAAGGGCATTGCCGTGTGCTGGCAATACTCGTGCTATAAGTTGTCTTGATTCCGTCTTGATGTTCTCGTCTTGATGGTATTTCTCTCGCCATCCCGGTGCTGCTATATGCGTTATTAGTTGTTTGATGGCCTTGAAGAGTTCCGATGATATAATCATTTGAAATTGTGCCTACATGCCCACTTTACGATGGTACGAGATGGCTGTTTGGGGCAGGTGGTTTCACGGCGAAGGCGGGAAGCTTGGACGCGAACAGTGTGGCCTGAATGAGACTGGATATGGTGTGCGGAGGCTTGTCGTTGCGATGCTTCTTGACGAACATGGGATTGCCTTCCCGCTTTGCCTGGAACAGCGGCAAGACAGCATGCAGAGGACTTAGTTCGCTATGATACTGTAGTAGTAATAGTGAGTGTTCCATACAGGCAAGAAACGCTGCCTCGGTACTGCACTGCGTATACAATTCATGCTTAGCTAACAGTCATCTGCTCATTGTTGTGTACTTCAAGAATGCTGCACAGTATCGGCAATGCACTGCTGATGTAGAATCATGCTCTTGTACTTCCTAGTTCCAGGGGCGTAGCAGTCAGTCCGGCCAAAGCTTTGGCCGGACCACTTTTTCAAAAAGTGCCCAGAATGCAGAATTTCGCACCCTAGTTTCAAAATGTTCCCCGGGGGAAACCCCTCCGGCCAGACCGCCTCCAACGGCGGTGCTACGCGCCCGAGTTCTTAAGGAAGACAGCAGACCAGTCCGGCCTGATGCACGCAATGTACACACCACTGAAACAATCAGTGATGAGAAGCAAACCAAAACTCTCTATCCTCATAGTACCCATACTAGGGCCATAGCGCATTCTGAAGTAAGGCTAGACTCACCACAGCGCCTGTGAATCCAGTGCTGGATTTGCGGTAGATGTCCTGTCGGCTTGTTGAGAACAGAAGCTGCAAGCATTGGAAGATTACCGAGCATACAACACATACATCTTGTTTATTCATGTTGAACCCTCACATGCATCTTGACTCTCGCGAGCCACTGGTGTACAGTATACGCATTTACCTGTGATCTAAAGCTAACATTCAAGCAAAATCTGGAGAAACTCGGTGCTGGAATGTCTCACTCCACCGGTCAGGAAAACGCCTCACAAGGGTTCTGAAACAATGCAGAATATGTTTTTATTCCCAGCCATTACGCCCAAGCCCTGCTGTGGACTAATAGTGGGAATGTCTTTGGACAACAGCGATCCTGCACAATGGCTGTAATGTAAGTAGAGCAAGCACAATGCACACCGTATCTCACCTTCGGTTTGCCGAGGAACTGCTGCTTCTTGACGGCCTCCAAGTGCACGGTGGACAGGCCACGGGGATGGAAGAACGGCGCCACTTCTAGCTGCTTGAGCTGGCAGAGAAAGGGCGTTAGCCGGCGGTCGACGTTGACTGACAGGCTGGGATTACCGCACGGACACTGGCAGATGCTGTTCAGGTTACGCAGCGCAGTCTGCAGAGAGTGATGGAAAAACATGACATTATCAAACTGCTGGAACTGGCGTGTAACAGATAAACGAAGAGCTGAGACGCAAAACCCGCTGAGCGAGGCAACTTTCAGCTCAGCATAATCAAAAGGTCTAGTGGCATCACTAGGCAACGTTTCACATTCAAAATCTGACTAGAACCATTTCGAAACTGGAGCATAAAATAATATGGATTTGGATACAAAACGCACATAAAATGAATCCTCTTTTGGCCATTATCCGAAAAGGGATAAAAAATGGATTTAGCGGGGTTTGCATTCCAGCTCTTCAAATGGCGACTCGGAGTGAAATTCTCAACATGCTACTCATACTCAGATGTACACTCATGATGTTTCAGTAGTACTATGGCAATAGGTCATAATCCACAAGTGTAAAAACATATATAATTTTATTTAAAAAAGAATGGTACCAAACCTGCATTGATTTCTAGATGCAATCACGTAACTCAGTAACCGATTCTGTGTAGGGCAACAATGCTTACCTCGAGACTAACTTCCTTTGTTATTGCAACCTCTTTAGCTTTGGCGTGCGAGATCTTTGCCTTGGCGTAGTACTGGTCAGCATGCCTGTTCAAACCCAGCTGTACGTAGACTACCGCCAGGTTGAACAATACCTGAACATCAGATGAAACACAGGCATTTATATTGAAATGAGAACTTCATAGTGCGGGAGCAACAAAGCCCAGCCTTCCGTGATCGCCATTCGCCAGAGTTGGGTAATAGTAATACACATACGACAATGCTAGGAATCAGCACAAGACTGCATGCGCAGAGCTGCCCACCGAAAAAACCATGCTCCGGCTTACCTGATACTCCCAGAGTATGTGCTTCAGTCCCAGCTCACGGTAGTCAATGAGCAGGTTGCCGCGCAGCAGTCGGTGGCACTCTATAAAATCTTGCAGTGCATCTTCATCATCTTCGTTGCTGTACACAAAGATACAGTCCAACACGTCAGCGAAACTGTTAGCCTAAAAAACCGAAAAAAATAATTTCCGGCGTGAACTTGGTGAATGATTGCCCAGTCCTTGTGAGAAAGAGGCCATGGTATTGTTTGTGGAAGATATGTTAAATATCTCAAGGCAATCTGGAGTCTCCAGTAGTTCTACATTAGTACTAATGCAATGGTGGAGGTGTAGAGAACCAGCTGCTCGCTTACCTTCCCATGTTATGGTGTGCAAGTGCGCGCTGGAATGCTGCAATGGCTAAATGCGAATCCCTGTCCAGTGCCTTGCTGTATTCCTGCAGTAGGCCACAACAACAGCAACAATGCATTCTTTACGTCTCTGAACAGGGGGAGACTGAAAACACACACTTGGATGCAGTACGTAGATCTATGTGTTATAGTTATGTTTGCTCACTTATCCCTTGACCTGCACTGGAACACATTCATGCATGCGTACATGGCCAGACTCACTGTGATGAAAACACATGCATCGCCTCCATTCATTCTAATGCGGAACGGATGTCTGTCTGTACTGAAGTGCATTGACTGCTTATGCCATGGCTGCCTATTGCCTTTTTGCGCCCTTCACGTTCGACAAAAACTGTCGATGGTCTGTCCTAGCCACTCACCTCAATAGCCTCTCCATAGCTTCTCTCCGACATGTGAACGCTTCCGATGTTGAACGAGATCCGGGCGCTGTCTGCTGGCATCTGTCGAAAGAAACGTAGCGACTCTTCACAGTCTCCGACATCATCGTGAGCAGTGATCGCCGATTCCCACAGCGTGGTGGTCGTCTTACATGGCAGGAAGCTCGATTGTCTCTGTAGCTCAGACATGGCCAAACAATACCTTGCGTTTCGCTCAAAATTATCGAAACTAGAATGTCAACAGGATCTACTTCCGAATAGTTTCAATCCCACTTTATATACTCCCCGTCGCCACGTGCCATACTGGATGGGCGATGATGTATCGCTTGCAAGCTACTTTGTAGTTGTCGCTGACCCATTTCTTTTGTAGTGGATCGAGTTGGGTCCTGTTCCTGCTCGTGTTGGCGCATACATTCTTGTAACTGAGCGAAGCGTTTAGTAAAGGCAGCTTTGCCGTAATCGCAGCGCAAACCATGGCTGTTGTGTGAACGTGATGGTTATGTGGCGGTCTGGGTAGCCCCAGACCAGGTCGAGCAGCGTCGCAGCAGTAACATGGCTGCGCCGTGACACGACCCAATCGGCTAATCGCATGCCGAACATCATGTGTGAGCAACGGAGTGCCTGACGTTGTGTGAAGTCGCGACTTGTTACGAATGTTACCCGGCCCTGGCACACCACGGCATTCTGGGCATTTCTGGCCTTACTAGCCCTGGATCCATGTAACAATAATTGTTGAAAGTGTGCACACGCATTGCGGGATGCTTCGACGAATCGACTTGCACTACAGTGGTACAGACTACATACAGTCTCACTCTCACTGTATCAGTATGGGTTCAGAGACAGAGGTCACTATTGCATTGGGACTGACAGTCGGCGAGAGCCAGCTTTCAGGGGATAGGATCCACTGCGCAGCCACGTGGTCCAGCGTCGGCTCGTGCTTGTAGTCTGCAGATCTGTGCTCCGTGGCAAGGCTATGTAACGCTACGTCTGGCTTCTGACAGATGGGTACGCGCCAACATCAGGAGGAAGTACAAAGCACGGGCAGGAAGGGCGAGCTCGTCACAGATTCAATGCGATTACCAACACCCCGTATCGCATCAATTCGACATCGGATGGGGAGTGCTCAGCGACTAACAATCAGCTGTGCAAAAGTGTCTCCATGACAGGTGATGTGTTCGTCGTTTGCTGGAACAAACAATACCAAGTCAACACTCGGCCACAGGTATGGCGTGTGCACAACCACCGCTTTGTGCTACTACGTTGCTTCAGGCGATTACCCGACGTTTCTGTGAGTCATTACTCTGCAGCGCCGAGTACATTGTCGCGGATGGAAGCGATGGTGATGGAACTTTGAAGATTGATTGAGTGATTATCGTGCTCCGCTGGGTTTAGTTTTGGCACGTATGTGATCAAAAAAGGCAAGGCGAAAGATTCAACCGCATGGCGTGACCAATCCCTCCGCCCATCTCTCTCTCTCTCTCTCTCTCTCTCTCTCTCTCTCTCTCTCTCTCTCTCTCTCTCTCTCTCTCTACCTATCTATCTATCTATCTATCTCACTCTCTCTCTCTCTCTCTCTCTCTCCGGCTCTCTCTCAGTATTTATCCCTCTTTCTCTTTCTCTCTCTCTCTCTCTCTCTCTCTCTCTCTCTCTCTCTCTCTCTCTCTCTCTCTCTCTCTCTCTCTCTCTCTCTCTCTCTCTCTCTCTCTCTCTCTCTCTCTCTCTCTCTCTCTCTCTCTCTCTCTCTCTCTCTCTCTCTCTCTCTCTCTCTCTCTCTCTCTCTCTCTCTATCTATCTATCTATCTATCTCACTCTCTCTCTCTCTCTCTCTCTCTCTCTCTCTCTCTCTCTCTCTCTCTCTCTCTCTCTCTCCGGCTCTCTCTCAGTCTTTATCTCTCTTTCTCTTTGAAAGTTTCTCTCTCTTCCTGTTTCTCCTCGTTCGTCAGTGCTTAGGAGTTAAAATCATGTACATGCTTGTTCTTTTTGCGCAGTATCGTAGTCTACGGGTATGTTGTGCACATGTGATTGATGTAAACGTGAGGACGTCCGTCGCGGATTTTCATCTGACATGACCTTTAGTAGGCAATGGTCGGTGCTGAACTTGATACTGGCAGTACTTGTGCTGGGGCCAAACCACCACAAAGATCGGTCTTTGTGGTCCACTCTCGAACAACACACACACTCACGCACAGAAGTCTCTGCTGAGAACACGGGGGCTCGGCAATGGCGATAAACTGAACGGAAGAAAAGGCCACTGTGACGTGACAGAAGTACATCACAGACAGTGTTGGAGGGTGGATGTGTGTGTGTGCGGGGGGGGGGTGGTAGTGCTCTTACACTATAAACTATAGACAGTGCATACAATGACAAGTAACGGAATGACTATGTCCATGTAATGATGTCAACTCGCCAAGGAGATTATCTGATTCAGCTGTTTACGAGGACAGCTCGTTGAGACCGCACACCTCTTGCACAGGAGACCGCTTTCCAGTTTTCCATTCCTTACCACCAGGGCACCTGGATACTAGTAGTCAGTGCAGGATCAACTCCATTCCTCAGCCTAGCCTACTGGTACTACTAGTAGTACAGTAGTAGACCTACCTGATTTGGGCACGCATATGCTGCAGCAGTGCAGGGCGCCAAACACCATTGACACTTCGCGAAGTAAGTGCCGATGATGTAGATCGCGTGCTGGAGACATGCGTCAAGTGATGTCCAGTGTCTGCCACAAGCCCTTGCCGTTTACTGATATTCTACACCGCACTCCACACACCACAGACTCAGTCCACATTCCACAGTCCTTGTGGACGTTGATAACACCTACCCACCAACGCCACGGCACTAGCCTGAACCATGCACACAGACAGACAATCAGTCATGTCAAAATCAGTCATACAGTTTACTCATACAAAATTTAAAATGATTATGAATAAGGTCATGATTGTACTGCTAGAGTGCTGAGTAGATCTACTCTTGCTCATACTGGTACTAGTACAGTGCTGGCAACTGAAATCCGACCCCCTGGGTTCACTTTCTAGCGGCCTCTATTTCGGGTCTTTGCGATGTGAGCGCACTGATCAGGGGGTCGGATTTCAGTTGCCAGCACTGTAGTAGTCCTCGACTGAGAGTGAGAGAAGGCCCATTCCCACCGCAGCGCAAGGACCGCCTAGTCTGCACGTCATGTACATGCTGAGATACCGGTATTTAACTCGATCGCACAAACTGCTTGCGCCGCGCCCCGCAGGTCTTCTATCTGGTCGAGTATTAGTAAGCTTGAACCAGAGATGAGAGTCCTGAATGTTTTGAACACAGTTGAATTCACACCAGGGAGTCGTGAAACCTCGACCCCTGCTTCCATGTAATTGTCATGATTGACATGACTGTGAATTCAGACTTCAGTCGTTCACCACCGGTCATGTTCACGTGCACTGCTAACGCCTCCCGGTCCCTAGCCCTGGCCTGACTGTCAAGTGTCAGAGCTCAGAGCGCGTAGTCCAAGCGGGCTAAATACTAGTGCCTAGTAGTGGGCCATGTAACTGTTGACGCGATCGATAAGCTACGCGTAGATCTACGAATCATTTGCAAGTCATGTAGGCCCGTAATTGATCGTGTTCCCATGTCAACCTCAATCCGGGTCTCTTTCAAACAGGCGGAGAGACCGCTGAGTTGTTTGTTGGCAGAGATGCTCGCTGATAGTTTACCAGATAGAGAGGATCGGGAAGAACATCGTGGGAAAGGAGCTTGACCCACTGCTGCATCAACTAGCTCTCAGGGTGCTCTGGTTCCGAGAAAGAATCTCTAGGGTATCGGCAGGCAGAGAACCACAGGCTAAACGTCCAGGACTCACAGCCACACAGCGCTGCCCGAGCTTCTAAAGTTCTAAAGTCAGTACTAGTAGGTGCGAGGAGGCTTACATACTCGATCAAGTGCACAGAAGCAAGCCTCCTGTTTGTGTAGTTTGGAAGACTGCACCGAGTGATAGTCGACACCAGCGACGCTATTCTCACATCATCTTGCTGACGACATGCGTTTGCTCCAGGTCTCCGGAGCACTGTGTTGCTTCGCAGCCTTCCTAGCTTGTGAGTACAGTGATTTGAATGATAATAATGCGACTTGCTGAATGTTTAGTCCGTGAAAATGAACTTTGCTCAACCATGACGTCTGTTTTCGCGGCTGCATGGTTGTCCTCTTCGCCTTCGGGCCCTGGTCGAGCTAGAGTGCAATGATCGGGAAATGAATGATGCACGCGGCGGTTAATGTGCTGAGCACGCCCTTCGATGTGCCTTTGGCGGTGTGGTATCATCTAAACGAATGAAAAATACCCAAGATACGATCCATTCAAAGCACAAAAGGTGCTATGTTTTGTTAGCGTCGAAGTGTATTAGAATGTTTGTGTACAGTCACCTACCTGTGCCTATATATTTGGCATGGTGCATCCATATGTAATTTGACCCCGCTTCCTATTTCACACCTTCGCGTACGCACATGCACCAGCGGTAACTGTTGCGTGCCTGTGCTGTTTACATGCCTACTCTGTTCCCCGTGTTCTCCACTTCTCCTTCTGTCTTCATCAAGTATAGTTTGTAATTCCTACCGGAGTGTGATGGTTGTGTTGGACTGAGAGAGTGTGCATGGGCATTTACCCTTAGTGCTGTTGCAGTAACGCAACACTTGGTGTCAGAACTGGTACCCCGAACCCTCGCCACCGGACCCGCTCGCCATGGCGAAATTTCAGCCCCCTGAAAGCTTCGACTTTTCCGCACCTGAGAATTGGCCCCGCTGGAAAAGCCGATTCACACGCTTCCAGATTGCTACCAAACTCTCTTCCGAATCCGCAGATGTCCAAATCTCCACTCTCATCTACTCTCTGGGCCCAACTGCGGATGATATCTTCCAGCGTGAGTTGTCCTTCGCCCAAGATTCCGACAAGGACGACTTCGATAAAGTGGTCGATGCTTTCGACAAGTACTTTGCACCTGCGGACAATGTTATCCACGAACGGACGCAGTTCGCTCGTCTCCGCCAGCTCCCCGGTGAGTCCGTAGCCACGTTCTCAAGCCGACTCCACTCTGTCGCGGCGAGATGCCGTTTCGACAAGCCGTCAGAACGGATCCGCGATCACCTCGTCGCCCACATGGCTGATTCTGAAGTGAGTAAGGCAATGCAGAAAAAGGACATAGGCTCCCTCACCCTCGCCGATGTTCTCAAGGAGGCCAAGGCAGCTGAGACCCTCGAAATCCAGCTAGCCACTCAGCGCTCCGCAGCCACTCAGCCCTCCGTCGCTGCCGCTGTCGCTCGCGGACATCACAAACAATCTCGTGGAACTGGCAGACCGAAGAATGCTCCGGCTGCATCTCGCCAGTCCGCGCCTAGCTACTCGACACGTGGCCCTCCAGCAACCTCTGCTCCGCGCGCTCCCTGCTCCGGCTGTGGCTCATCTAGTGGTCACTCGCGCCGCGAGTGTCCTGCTTGGTCCGTCGAGTGCCGTAAGTGCCAGCGTCGTGGTCACTTTGCCAAAGTGTGTCGTAGCTCTCGTCAAGTGGGCGCGAGCGAGATGTCTGACCATCCGGTGAGTGATTCTGCTAGTGCTAGTGCGAGTTGTTTTATGGGTAGTGCTTCATCCGAGTCACAGGAACCCAGTATCTGTGTTTTGAGTTCAGTATCCATTCCTGACTCAACTGAACCCTGGCTTGTTGAGCTCCCTATCAATGGCCAGTCAGTGTTGTTCAAGCTGGACTCTGGCGCAGACTGCACACTCCTGTCACTGCCGTCCTACAATAGCCTCAGTCCTCAACCTAAGCTCACGCCGATCTCCACTAAGGTCACTGGACCTGACGGCCAACCTCTACCCATACACGGCGCATTTGTTGCTGCCAGCTCCTGGAAGGACCGCAACGTCACTTTCCGTGTTATTGTTGTTGATGGCCCCAGCAACCTCCTGAGCCGCAGTGTGTGCCAGGACCTGAACCTCCTGTCTTGCGATGTATCCGAGGCATCCGCAAGCCCTCCGTCCGCTCCTCCTGTCATTGGTCGCATGTCCGGTCCTGCAGCTACCATCGAGCTGCAAGACAATGCCCAACCATATCACTGCCAGACCGCACGACGAGTTCCCATCCACCTGCAAGCCAAGGTCAAGACCGAACTTGACCGGATGGTCCAGATGGGAGTCATCTCTCCAGTCACCGATCCGACCGACTGGTGTGCGCCCATGGTGCCCGTGCTCAAGAAGAATGGCTCCGTCCGCATCTGCGTGGATCTCAAACGCCTGAACCAGTCCGTGAAGCGTTCACACTTCACTCTGCCGACCATCGAAGACACCCTGGGCAAGCTGTCCGGAGCCAAGGTCTTCTCGTCGCTTGACACGGCGTCTGGGTTCTGGCAAGTGCCACTTGCTGACGACAGTGCGTCACTCACTACGTTCATGACACCGTTTGGCCGGTTTCACTTCAACCGTCTACCCTTTGGTATCACCAGTGCGCCAGAGGTTTTCCAGCGTCGCCTACTGGAAATCGTTGGGCACATTCCCAACGTGGTCGTCTTCATGGATGACATCCTCGTGTTCGGTGCCACTCTAGCTGAGCACGATGCTGCCCTCACTGCTGTCCACGCAGCTCTCGCTTCTGCAGGCGTACTCCTCAACCCCGCCAAGAGTCGCCTCCGTATGAAGTCCCTGACGTTCCTGGGTCACCTCATCGGTGCTGACGGTGTCCGCCCAGACCCAGCCAAGGTGTCTGCCATCCAAGCTCTGAAGTCACCGACCAATGTGCCCGAGTTACGCCGTGCTATGGGTATGTTCACGTTTCTGTCGAAGTTTGTGCCAGATATGGCCAATGTCAGTGCCCCGCTCCGTGCTCTACTGAAGGCCGACACCGCCTGGCAGTGGGACACCCAGCAAGAAACTGCCTTCTGTCGCCTCAAGGAACTCGCTACTACTGCTCCCTGCTTGGCACTGTTCTCGCCCGACCAGCCCGTCCGTATTAGTGCTGATGCCAGTAGCTACGGACTGGGTGCTGTCCTCCTGCAGCCTGATGGCTCCCGCTGGCGCCCTGTTGCCTATGCGTCCCGCTCTCTATCACCTACTGAGCAGCGCTATGCCCAGATTGAGAAAGAGTGTCTCGCCATCGTTTGGGCATGCGAGCATTTCCACCACTACATCTACGGCGGTCCTCAGTTCACAGTCGAGACTGACCACAAGCCTCTCGTGCCTCTCATCAACTCCGCTGATCTCGCCCGCTCTCCTCTGCGATGCCAGAGACTCCTGATGCGGCTGATGAGGTACAACCCAACCGCTATCCACGTGCCTGGCAAATCACTCGTCATTGCCGACACCCTATCCCGTGCTCCGCAAGAGTCCTCGCCTACTAGTGATCTTGCTGATGAAGTACAGCTGCATGTGTCTGCCGTCACATCGCATTGCTCCACCGACCCGCTCTTGGTCGACGTTCGGAACGCGACCAACGCTGATGCCGACATGTGTCGCCTCCGTGCCCTCATCCTCAACGGGTGGCCAGCCAAGCCCACCTCGGTCCCCGCTAGCCTCCGCCCGTACTTCGCTGTTCGCGATGAGCTCTCAACTGCTGATGGTCTCATATTCCGTGGCCAACGTGTCATCATCCCTGCATCCCAGCGCAACGCCACCCTTGCCAGTGCTCACGAGGGTCACCAAGGCGTTGGTAAGTGTCGTGCTCGTGCGCGTGCTGTGATGTGGTGGCCTGGTATGTCTACGGACATTGAGTCGTATGTGATGTCTTGTGCCACCTGTGCCAAGGCCCGTCCTAACCCAGCCGAGCCGCTCATCTCGTCCGAGTTCCCATCTCTTCCATGGTCAAAGATCGCGTGTGATCTGTGTGCAGCCAAAGGATCCACTTACCTAGTTGTTGTCGACTATTTCTCGCGCTACATCGAAGTCAAACAACTTACCACTACTACGTCTGCCGCTGTGATTGCCTGTCTCCACTCCGTGTTTTCTACCCATGGTATTCCACACACGCTAGTGTCTGATAACGGTCCACAATTTGCTAGTGCCAGCTTCCGTGCATTTGCTGCCGAGCTTGGGTTTGCCCATCGCACGTCAAGTCCTCGCTTCGCCCAAAGCAACGGCGCTGCAGAACGTGCCGTTCAGACAGCCAAGCAGCTCATCCTCAAGAATGATGACTTGCCTTCCGCTCTCTTGGCCTACCGGTCTACGCCATTGGCCAACGGTTATTCACCGTCACAGCTGTTGTTCGGCCGCCAAATCCGCTCCCGGCTACCAGGACCCCTCCCTGCTCCAGCGTGGCCTGATTTGACCGCCCTTGCCGACAAGGAAGCATCTTCCAGGTCTCGGCAGGCTGATCGCTACAATCAACGCCACCGTGCTCGACTGCTGCCTGTTCTCGCCCCTGGTGCTCCTGTGTATGTCCCCGATATGGACAAAACAGGACACGTCCAGAACCGCCTGTCCGAACGCTCTTACACGATCGACCTCACTCCTGGGTCATCTGTCCGCCGAAATCGTCGCCACATGCGTGCGTTGCCATCGACGCCATCCGCGTCAGCCAAACGCCCTGTTCCCTCCAGCTCATCCTCCTCCATTGAGCCCATGTACGAGGTTGACTACGGTGTTCCTGCTCCCGTCCGTGTTGCCCTGCAACCACCAGCTAACTCTACTCTGCCGCCTCTTCTGCCTGTGCCGCAGTCTCCTCGAGTTGCTAAGCCTCTGCCACCCGGTCGCAGACCACCATCCAGCCGTGTTCGCCATGCGCCGCAACGCTATGCTGCCAATACCTGAACACAGTAACACTGTTTACTCCATGTGTTCCAGTTGAACTATGACTGTGTTCCTTTCATGTTTTTTTTCTCTCTATCATTCTGAGTAATGCTCACGTTGGTACCCGCTCCAGAACTGCTATCGCTCCTTTTCCTCTCTCCTTTGCTCCACACTTTCTCGTGTCCCTCCGTTCGCATTTTTTTCGGGGGGAGATGTACAGTCACCTACCTGTGCCTATATATTTGGCATGGTGCATCCATATGTAATTTGACCCCGCTTCCTATTTCACACCTTCGCGTACGCACATGCACCAGCGGTAACTGTTGCGTGCCTGTGCTGTTTACATGCCTACTCTGTTCCCCGTGTTCTCCACTTCTCCTTCTGTCTTCATCAAGTATAGTTTGTAATTCCTACCGGAGTGTGATGGTTGTGTTGGACTGAGAGAGTGTGCATGGGCATTTACCCTTAGTGCTGTTGCAGTAACGCAACAGTTTGTACTTCATTGGGTCTGAATCATCTGCCAATTGCCGGGTTTTTACAAAAGGTGTTCGGTCAGAGCAATCCCATCTTTAAATCAGGCTACACGACGTGTGTTCCGGCAGAGCTCTCAGCCCAATAAAGAAAAGAGTAGACGCATCCAATGCCCTGGCCTGGCTTCAGCAAACTTTGGCACCAATGCCTGAGACTCTGCATTGTGCAGAATGGGAACTTTGTACTATTATAAAAAGTACAGGGCAGGCGGCTGTCCGGTTGAGTACGGGGTAACTAGTAGCAGGCCCAGTTGTGTGAGAGGTTCCCCAGATTCAAGCATAGCATTCCCTTCTGTTTGCCAGACAGGGAGCACATCTCAAGACCACACAGGCCACTATTTATGACAGTATGAGAGCGACTGCTGTCAGCACTGAGCTCACCAGCAAAACCAAACAAGCACACATTCCAGCCAAGCACCTCTGTGTGTGTGTGTGTGTGTGTGTGTGTGTGTATGTGTGGTCAGGCATGTCTCTCCTGGTACTGCACAACCTTGTGAGAATTTCCGGTCTGGGGAGCTAGTGTTATCCCAGGTGTGTACTACATGTATGGTGCTCTCTTTATCTGCCCTGCTGGGATGCAGGTGCTCACCACCTGACTAGAGCCCGATTTAAAAGCAGGTTTGTATGAGAGCACACACCACACACACATACATGTACACACACACACACACACACACACACACACACACACACACACACACACACACACACACACACACACACACACACACACACACCCGGCACTCAGACCGCAGACCTGCCCATCGCGGAAGCGATGATAGCGAACAGCTATGTTAGACATAGCAACTTGTGCTGGGATTACACCATTCAACAGCTTGCAAGGCTGATGAATTGACCGCCACTATTTTTAGCCTGGTATCCACCACACAGCTGATTGAAGTGACTTTTTCTGGCCAGTGAATCCCTATTTTTCATTTTTCCATTTTTTCTACACACACACACCACACCACATACTCCGGCATACACTGGCTGTTGGCAACCACCCAGGAGAATGAAAGAAAAGTCAGGAAGAGTCCGAGAAAGAGAAGAAAGACATGTGCAATCATAATCGTCGGGAATTGAACCCGCAACCTCTCGATTGGAAATCGACTGCACATACCACTGCACCATTTGGGACACACACACACACACACACACACACAAACACACACACACACACACACATGTAACGGAAATGGTATTGCCTTCTCCCCCTGGCCCCCGTGTCACACAACAGCTCAAACAACTTGGTGGAGTTTCTGACTTCTTATACAAACGGAAAGGGCACAGGAGGAGAAAGACGAAACTTGGAGACGACAGGAAGGACAACAGGAAAGACTCCCGGGAAAAGACTCAGAGGATCAACAAAGAACAAGCAGTAATAAACCGAGGACAAATCGTGACGACCAATCAGGGACTAATACGTACAGAACACATGACCAAGACCAAGACAACCAGACCACGGACGAATCACACACGACTCTCATTCCCAGACCAAACTAGCACTGCGCATGTACTGCATTCACTTGACAGTCACTCTCACACAGACGGAAGCACATCCTCACACTCTGACAACGCGTACTCCTGCATGCACCACATACCATAAACGTCACACATCACACCATGCTCACGCGTACACCTAGACCATATATGACATCAGACACTGGACTCCACAAGACAAGAACCAAATACAACGACATGCGTAAATCATAGTCGTAACATAAATTCGTTACACACACACACACACACACACACAAACACACACACACACACACACACACAAACACACACACACACACACCAAGTCGTTTGGTCTACAGCCTGTAATGTCTGTACATGTATAGCGCCGGCAGTGTAACAGTTATAGGACACAGTCCCTGCACCCTCTCTCTCTCTCTCTCTCTCTCTCTCTCTCTCTCTCTCTCTCTCTCTCTCTCTCTCTCTCTCTCTCTCTCTCTCTCTCTCTCTCACGGAATATCCGTGACCCATATTTACACAGCTGTACATGCGTTGTGGTCTGTTGCTTGAAATACATTGCTGTCACCAGTATTACAAGTTGGTCGAGTGACAGCCCAAGGTCGTGGTGGTGGAGCCGGTGCGGGTGACGATGATGATGACGATGCTAGAGTGATACTAAATATCACACAACTGAACAACCTGGGTTTCAATGCCAGCACGCATGCTATCCGCATAGTCATCGCCAACACAACGCAGGGAAATGTAAGCATCATACATGTATGACCATTCATGGACAGTCAAACCTCGTTAGAACGAACTTCAAGGGACTGAACAAGTGTGTGTTGTCTTATCCGGAGTTCTTCTTATCCAAATCTGACAAACTATTGATATGCATATCAAGTGGATTGTATTTATGTGAAGGTGCATGCTGTGGCACAAGCAGTTTTTCATAACCTATACCCCAGCAACAGGTAAGTACAATGTGCAATGAATTCATGACAGCATGTCCTCCGCCTTGTAACATGTTTTGCCAGTACAAGAGGCCTCGCGTATCGGAAAAAACTACGGCCAGCGCACCCACGGGGACCGAAGTTCGTACTACACGCTGATTTTATTCAAATCACGCTTGAAATTAGTTCGTCTTCACGAAAGTTCGCCGTACAGGAGTTCGTCGTAAACAAATAATTTTAACTTGATATGGTTCCTGGCCAACCACAGGATTGGCTCAAGTCCGCACTAATGGAAAGTACGCCTTATCAGTGTTTGTCCTAACGAGGTTTGACTGTACATGCGTATATGCCTGTCTACTGAGAATTGCTCGTGCGTAACATACATCGAAGTGTACAGGAGTCTGATGCAATAGCACAGAACCATGGCACGCACAATGAATGCTCGTTTCGTATCAAGGATGAACTAATATGATGACCTTGGAGAGTCTGATGGAATGCCCATATCTAGAAAAGTGATAACGGCGGCTATCACCACAGGAAAGTTTAGGCAGGATCTCTTCTTGAGCACATGAGCCAACCATCATAGAAAGGCTGCATGTGAATTTTGATCAGTTTTCTTTTTTTTTTGCCATTCTCTCAGTCAAACTGGAGAGAAGCAAAACTGCTCATCCTACCCGGCCGGACATGAAACTGCGTGAAGCCCCAGAACTCTTACAATACAATGTACATGTATTGTAAGTGTTCTGTAAGGTTGTACGGCTTCTAAATACCACAGCATGCAAGTAGACTAACTTACATGTCATGTAGTCTACTCGAATGCTGTGGTGTTCAGAAGCCGCGGACAGTTCACATACCGTTAGATAAACATTCTCAGTGACTTCAAGTCTTGGTACTCCAAATAAGGACGGTGTCGGATCATCATAAAATATATTGCTATGCCCTTTCTGGATTGATGCCTGCTGCTGTTCTGCATACTCGCACCAAGTCAGGGCATGCTAACGCCGTGTATGTGTGTTCTGCATGCTTTGGCTGAATACAGTTTACGGGGCCACCCCTCGATGCCATGGGAATGCCAATTGGTGGCACTGCCAACCTGACAGAGCCCATCGCGTCTAAGATGGCGGTGCTTCTCGCGACGTCCGTTCAGTCCTTCTGCACTGACAACGCCAGTGTGTGCAATGTGATAGACAACATGACATTGCTAGCGTAAGTTGTCGCCGGGTGAGCAAGCCCCTCTTGCGTGAACGCGGCGCAATGACAGTGCAGGTCTACCCTCGTTAGTACGATATTGGTTACGAGACAAACATCATTAGTAGGCAACGATCAAAATCCCCTGACGACATGTACATTCACGTCCTGTTAGGAGATAATACTCGTTATAAGACAAGCAATTTGAAACCCCTGGGGTTAACTATTTTACAAAGGTAGACCTGTATCTGAATGCATGAGCTGGTGCCTTACCTACGAGCCCTGTATGCAGAGCTGAATGTGCCCGGGGGGGGTATATAATATCATACACTGCAATGCCAGTATCACGTAGGAAAGCCTTCTGCAAGCATGTTGGCCCGGCAATGGCCGCAAAACTGAGAAACTCCAAGCCCCAACAGCACACCCAACTGAATAATTCTGTTACTGTGATATTGAAAGGCCACAATGGAACAGAGTACACACTACCGTGTGCTGTGTCATGAACTGACATAAGACTTTTGTAGGCGTGGGTTCGAATCCCACTTCTGACACCATGTTGTGTCATGAACTTACATAAGGAAGTGCTGTATTTTACAGACAGATGAGTGTCGATATCGTGAAGAGTCAGGGAGGCCATGCCCAGCAGAGCATGGCATCGTGCGTAGCACAGGGTAGTGCGAGGGCACGTACCGTCTATACATGGCGACAGACAGGGGAAGGACTATGCCGTGAATGGGTGAAAGGATAACATGATACAGGATAGGACACAGTGTACACGAGCTACACATTGATGGTGTCCGGCTGTCACTTAAGTCTCTGATTGCTTTTGCTTAGTTTGGGATCAATAACCAATTTTTGTATTGCACTTCCATTCATTGGGTTTATTGTGCCCACAAAAGGGGCTCTAGTAACAATGGAACAAATACTAAAGGCCAACACCGGATATAATAAAATGGCAATCAGCAGAATCAGTGAAGCGGACATTGAACGTAGTAATCAACAAAATAAAATATGGATAAGAAAATTTCCTAACAAGTTTTCTAGAGACATTCATCAGGGAAATACGTCTCAATAATGAAATCTAATGTCCGCTTCGCTGATTCTGCTGATTGCCATAATAAAGTTATTGTCTCCGCGCCACTTATTCATATAATAAAATGCGTGTTTATTTTCAGGAAGCTACAACGAAATGTCAAGACACCAAATAAATACTGGACAATGTTTCCAGAGTATAATTGGCATGCAAATACATGCCATACATGCCATACCTCATTTTTAGGCCACAAGTCGCGCCCCACTTTCAGATCTTGCATCCTTTCAATATTATTCCTTTTACAGAATGTCGCGTGAGAGTGTACATGTAAGTCACTGGAACTGGTGTGGTGTTGAAGTTTGGGGGTGTACATGGTGCAACCGACATGTACTTTGAGGGCTATTGAGAATAATAGCAGGCGCGTGCCCCGTATGGGTTCCTGGGTGCCCGGAACCCCCCCCCCCTTTTCGCTCAAAATGCAGGATTTTGCTTCATTTTTTGAAACTTTTCCCGGGGAGGCCCCCGCAACCCCCCCCCCCCCCCTTGAAGGGCACGGGCGCACGCGCCTGCTATAATAGGATAGTCGCTCGTGGAGATTAAAGGAAGTACTACAACTCCAGTCAGGGTGAACATGAATTTTGTGTCATGCGCAGAAATTCACAGCAGTTGGAAGAACAGGCCTACATGTCTCCTCTGGATACTGCAAATGAATTAGCCAGGGTCGGATTCAAAAACGCTGATCGCTCCGTGGTCGGTATCTTGCTCTCACGTTAATGATTGTGTTTGTGTGCTTACCCATAGGAAGCAGTTGCCGGAGGAGAACCAGGTGGGATTCTTAGCAGCCAACTACACCTACGATAGCATCAGTGGATCTTTGACGGTATACGGGTACTACCGACTTCCCACACCCGCTGGCAGCACTAAAGTGATGCAGGATATTCGCAAGGACATGACGCAGAACTTCCTCCCATCCAGCGTGCTCGTTGGTGCACTGCAAAAATACTACAGGCAAGTCTGCGAAGGAATTATAAACAGCACGGTGAGCATTATATCGTACGAAACTCTGTCTGGGAGTGCAATCAGCTCTGCCTGCCCAAAGCCAACAGTCTTGCCGACAACCGTGGCGCCTACAACCATAGTACTACCTACTAGCTCTAGTGCTGCTTCGGCAGCAACAGTATCCCCAGTTGCGACTACCACGGCACCCACCCAGGTCACAAGCATGGGGGGAACAACACAGTCGGCGCGAACTGACGTAACATCCCCGGTGGTAGGAATGACGGGCGCGCAGACTACACCAGCACCTGTTGTCATCCCATCACAGACAGCATCCGGCGTAACTGTTGTCGCCGTGTCTTCCCTGACAGCATCCGGCGTACCTGTTGTCGTCCCTTCACAGACAACACCCGGTGGAATGCCCACAATGAGACCCACAAGTATGATGCCAAGCAGGCGCCCTTTGTCGTCGCAGCCACCAGATGCACCCACCGCTGACCTGCCACTAGAAATCATTGCTAAGTTCACGTTGTCCGGCACCAGTCGGGATGTGGTGAGTTGTCAGTTTGACACGATGCATGGCTCGTATATGAGAGTATGTCTAGACAAGTGTACAAGGTCATGTCATGTGTCCGAGTGTACGCAGTATTGTCATGTCATGTGTCCGAGTGTACACAGTATTGTCATGTCATGTGTCCGAGTACACACAGTATTGTCATGGTGTATACATGTACATGTATGAGGTGCTGCTACAAGCGTTATGCCTTTTATGGTCTGATTTTGGTCTACACCTCCACTGAATGGATTCACACCGGATGAGTTATGCCATCGGTTTTTGTAGCCAGTTACGTCATCAGTTATGTCATTAACGAACGTTATTCTCATTGGTTCATGGCACTTGTACAAGTACGGTACTCATACTTCACAGCCACACCTTACCCCTGATAGTTATGAAAGCAAATACAGTTGAACATCGATTATCCGCACATCGACTATCCGACCATTCGATTATCCGTAACAGTTTTTTTGGGCGCACGTGCCGTAGAGTACGCACTGTGCATGTAGTGAGCCATTCAAAAAATACGAACATTTTGAAAAGTAAAAAGTAAAAAGGTCGTGCGGCTAGTAATAACCACTGAAAGTGTGTGAGTGACAGTTTTTTCTTATCCAGAACATTTGCCTTATCTGAACACCGCCTGACAGTTGTCTGCCCAGAGGTGGTCGGATAATCGATGTTCAACTGTACATGCACTTGTAGTTGCTCTTATCCAGAACATTGTTAGTTGTAGAAGTCCACTTGAAAGGATCTGTTTCCAGAAGGGATCTTTGACATGCCGTTGGCTCTTCCTTTTTTCACATTTCCCCATGTAGTTTACTGAGCAGCTGGAAGAGTTGTATGCGACGGCTGAAAGTCTGGTCAACAACAACTGCAGCGCGGCTGGCAACAGGCCACCGTTCATTGAGTTCTACCCGATGGATGTGCAGTTCGGTGCAGATCTCATCACGTTCTCGCTGGGCTACCTTCGCAACGCAAACTCCAGTACGATCAACTGTTCACTGGTTAGTACAGAAGCCACGCTGGGAGATCAGCTGCGCGATCTCTTTGACAATCCAGAGGTGGTGTCCACGCTGCAGGCGTTGGTCAATGGCACCTTGGCGGCGATCGTCTCCACACGAGGCCCGACGGGTATCGCACCCACCACACCAGCAGAAGAGAGCGACACAGGGCTCAGTACTGGCGCCATAGCTGGCATTGCCGTCGGTGCGGTAGCCGGCAGTGCACTCATCCTGCTGGCAGCCATAGTCTTCGTAAAGTTTGGAAGGTGAGAAATCAAATCAGAATGGCTTGCGCATCGCTGTTGTGTCTGTTCTGCGTCTGGCTTAGCTGGGCACTTTTCTTAGCAAGCCCAATGTGGTCCTATCTGTGTGTAGAATACATGTACGAGCATCATCTGCAAATCTGTCAAAGCTCCCAGATCCAAGGACTTTAACCTTGCAGTCAGGCAGGCACTGTTGCCACACCAGTGCGCAATACACAATATGCCCGTCTGGTCACACAGTGGACAACATGGACCATGTTATTGGTTGTGTCTCCGAGTTTCACACAAACGCCTTGGCAAATGACCATCATCATTGCAGTAATGATCGCTTGTTTCATTTTGTCCACCGTGTGTTCTATTTCTTACGTGCCATGAATGCCTCTTAATCCTTGAAGCTGGTGGCATTCCAATGGATGCAGAAATGTCAGTATGACTAGCTGTCACCCCAAGCATGGCATATAATTATCAGTTTTTCATAAAGATAACAGCAACTGATCAAAATGATTTGTGCTGCATTCGATCGTGGTACCTGAATCAGGATCCCTGCCAAGCAGATCAATTCGATTGAACACATCCAATAGAACAATTCAATTAAACTGATGTCAGATCCACATGGTTTCATAAAGATTGGGTTTGCGTGGCAAACAAGAATGGCGTGCCAAAACCTTTGGTTGCCAAGGGCACTCGCGTGCAGGGCCAGCAATTTTTAAACTGCAGCAAGAAAGCAAGAAATATCGCCCGATTTTGGGTACAGAGCAAAAATGGAGCTGTCGAATCCATCTAACCCGCCTTTGGGAGGTGGGTTGACAAGGTCCAAATCCGCATGGCCTGGATTCGTACAATCGAACAGGTCCGAACTTGGCAAATCCGGATCTGGGGACCAAATATTTGCCCAATCGAACATGCGCTTGGTGAGCTGATTAGGCTCAACTGGGCAAACTTTTCATAACGTTTACCTGGGTATCTGCTTACTCGACTAACTAACTGCCATGGTATGTTTGTATGCATTGTTCCAGCGCACCTGCAAAGCTAAAAACAAGCGGTTCAATGATGAAGGTAGTGCCGACTGAAGTTGAAGAAGGCGCGACGGGTCATGAAGGCGTCAAGCAGGCATGGGGTGACAATTCGCAGGTGGTCGTGGAAAGCCTCGCCTGAGACTGCTTACAACCACTAGGGTCCAGGCTTGCTGCATGGCAATGATTCCAGTTGATATTCCTGCTAAGCAAGCTCATTGTCCCTACACAGTGGGTCTCCAAACGAACATGTTCCAAGTTACGATAATTTAAAAATGCCAACCCCATCGAACCCATTGGTTCGATGCTTGTATGTACGGACAAGAAAGGGTTACATTAACACGGATTCCACTGGCAGAACAGTGGAAGCGGTATGGCCATCACCTTCCACTCCCGGCCTTCAAGTTCGCGGACCAGCAACATTCAATTATCCCTCTTCTCCCAGATTTGCCTATAGGATACTCCCGTGTTTTCCCATGATGTATTGCACTCTACGACATAGCCTGAACTTGTGAAAAGGTTCTTTCAAAGACACCAGGCTGCAATAATTCCTCATTAAAATTTCATATACCGATAACTGTTAGTTGATACTGGATTTCAAGATGCACAACGCCGCGTGATTTGACCGCTGGGGCCGACTTGAACGTTCTATGAAGCTCAGTGGTTGCCGTATTATTCAACAAAGTAGGACTTAACCTGATCATTGGTCTATTTCACACTCAATTTCGCCACAAATTAGTAACTTCCGAACAGTCTGATGTAATCACATGCGTGTGCAGCAGAGGCTGTTGTCTCATTGTCGACTGCAATGGTAAGACATGGATCGCATTTTGCATACAGCCTTTTTACAGAACCGTACCAGAACAACAAGGACAATCAAGGCTTGTTTGCTGCTACTTCAAGTTTCATGCTCACGCAATCATCAGGCAACATACAACCTCTTATAATCATTATAGAAAAGTATTATAGTGCTGAAGGATACTGGTGATATGCTGGTATCTCACTTGTGGAGAGTACTGTTCATGTGGTGTGACTGCCAGTGGTAGATGATGGCTATAGCCACAACACCAGCTGACAAGTACCCAACACAATTTGAGCCCTGATAATAAATATATTTTCATGCAGCTAAGAAAGTATGCAAGATGATAATAATTTTGTCAGTTTCAGCCACACCAATTCTGTCAGGAGCTGGATACCAGAATCTACTGTAAATATACAAATTTTCGGCAGCTATTTAATTTCGGCTATATTCGGCACCGACCCAAAACGCCTAAATTAAAACGCCGATGAAATTTTTCACAGCATCTGTCGCACTATACCATGCCCTCTACCCCACGCCGAAAATAAATCGTCGCCGAAATGTCAAAAATCGTGAAGTGCCGAAATTTTGCAGCGCCGAAATTTTGTATATTTTACAGTACTCATTCGTTACAGGGCGGTTGATTTTGGCAAAAGGCAGCATTGCTCGAAATGCTTGAAAGAGGTGTTTCAGGCACCTGTTCTCTGGAGCTCTTCAGCAGCACTTCAATCAGAATGGGTAAATAAAAAGTAGCAGAAAGAAAACCTATCACACAGCAGCTTCTTGTACGAACACATCATTATACATGTACATGACGAGATTTCATAATCACAAGAGAAAGGTTAGCGGGTGAGGGCAGTTTGATTTCAACACCAGAGCACGATCAGATTTGTGTTTTTCGACATCAGTATGTGGCAAATGGTAGCGGTAGCGGATGAATCTGGCAGCTGTGTGTGCGTGTGTGGACAAACATGATGAGTCCACGAGTGAGTATTATTCGAAGAGTGTGAGTGCTACTTCAAGTGCAACATTTTCTTTCTGCCCGGGAAATATACTAGTAGTTATTATGTCCTTTCAAGCTCCTCACAGTATCCTTCCAGACACCATTATCAATTGGAAGCTGCAGCACTGTGTCGTCTAGTCCCACAGCCGTGACTTCCAGTAAACGGATCAAATACGTTTGTTGTACATACAAGTCCAAAACAAGTAGCAGTGGATGTGTGAGCTGTCCTTTTGTTTTGTTTTTAATACCTATGTCCAGCATAAGCGAATGTGTGGGCTGAGCAAGTGTCTTCGACACTTGCTTGGCTGCCGCGGCCGCGGGAATGCAAATAATAAGTGGATGTCTGTATGTCCACCGTATCGGGCCAGTTCCATAGCTTGTTAAGAACACGGCACTATGCCAGCCATACCGGTATTACAGGCACCCCAGTAACACATAGGCTTGCGAAGCAGCAAGGTCGATAGCAGCTTCCGCATATACTCGTAGCCGCGTCGCTTTGCTTCTGACCTGGCTTAGCGATCAGCTTCACACTGAGTGTGTTCAGGGTCCGTGCAGCAGTCGGTTGGAGATTGCGGCCAATCGAGTAGCAGTGACTTGCTGCTGCTGCAGGCTGGGCAAGGACCAGTTGAAGAGGCATGTTGGCTGTGACGGTCTGTTACACGCCAAGTGCTACCGGCCATGTATCCGTACAACGCAACAGTGCACAGCACACGTGCATGCAGGCTCATGCCAGTGCTGATGCAGCTCCACAGTGCACAGCACACGTGCATGCAGGCTCATGCAAGCGCTAATGCGACCCAGCGTTTGTGCCTCGCTCGTTGGCCTGTACAACGTTGGCAGCCGGCAGAGAGCGCAGCGAAGAGCCGGCATGGTAGCAGATTACATAGAACGACACAAGCAGCAAGAAGGAAACGAGCGTGATGACCATGCACAGCGTCCGCGAAATGGTGAAGTCATAGTCCGTACAGTCAAACACATTTCCCCATTCCGTCTCGGTCATGTTCATCTGCACAGTCAAAGCAAGCAAACCACACAAGAACAATAGAAATAGACCTAGTTGAACTTTTACCAGGATTACATTGACATGGGAAGAGGGTGAGACCAAACACTGAGAATGCTAACAGTAGACTGCGATAGATTCAAGGCCGTGAATCCTGGATCACTGCGGTGTTGTTGCAAGGCTTTGAAGCTGTACATGATTGTACATACCTGGTCCTGGATGTCCAGGCATATCAAGCTGTACATGATTGTACATACCTGGTCCTGGATGTCCAGGCATATCAAGCTGTTATCGCGCATATAGTAGTAATGGCTCTGCAGAGCTGTGTACTGCCCGCGACAAGACGTGCAGGCTGACAAGTTGCCGTACAGCTTGGACGGCTTGGGCTGGCCACTTTCCACATTGCCGCCGTCGTCGCCTCCGCCGCTGCCATCGTACTCCGCGCCCTCGGCGAAGAAAACTGGCAGTGGCGTGACAGGCACATGGGGCTTGCCAGTTTTGTTAGAGTGCTTAAAATCGTTCCAGCTCTACATGGGACACATGCATACACCAGGGGAAGTAGTTGTGAGAAAAGTCAGTCTTAGAAGTAGGTGAACCACACCATAATCAAATAGAAGAAATCACATGGGAACGAGTTATGAAGCAACTATCCACGACTGTAACAAGATAATGAGCAGTCAGAAAGTGCGATAACAGGGCACAAAACCGTCTTCTTCTATTTCAATTATATTTCTTGCCTCAGTATCCAAGTTAAATTTGCACACCATAATAATTCTGTTATACTGACACACAGGAGTATTAAACAAATAAATAATAATACACACGAGTACATAACTCTGCTGGCGACTTTGTCAGAGCCTTCTCCGGATCAAAGGATACACGGATACAGCGAATTGCCCAGTTTAAAAACAAACTGCCGGGCACGGAACGTGCATGAAGCTTGAGGATGGATATTTCCCACACTATTCTGCTGACCCCTGGTGACATTGCCAGTGATGATAACAGTCCCTACCTCTATGTACTTCAGAAAGCACCCTCTGGTTTCATTGAGAAGATGGTAGAACTCGACAACGGCCTTGGTGATGTTGCCATCCTCGAAGCACACTGTGACAGGCCAAGCCAAAACAAAGGCGGGGAAAGAGTTGCAACACTACTGCCAGTGGACCGTGGTTGAAGTAAAACATCACCCACTATACATCTATGCTAGGTGCACTGCGATGATGGACACAAGTAAAACTAAGTACCAAGTTCTGCTGCAACATCACAAGTACATTCCTAGAAATGCAATCATATGAATCCAGGGTGAAGTGAAGGACCCGACATATGCCTCCTGGCCTTTTCAAAAGCATTAATTCCTCTGCACCTCCGCAGCAAAGTTATGACATGACAATCTGTCTTCAGCAGCATTCTTCCCTGTCTCCCTGCACTTGAACTCTCCACAAGAAACCGAAGCCATTGAATGCCTTGCAGTTGAAAGTATGTGCTCCAGTATAGCAAGCACTATGAGAGCAGTGAGTCCCAGTGGTGGCAGCCAATGTTTCTTCAGACTTTTTCCCATTTCCACCCCGGCCAGCTACGAATATAATACAGATACACGCAGCACAGTAGCAGTAGGACCGTACCAGCACATCTGGCGTCAGACCATAGCGATTTGGTATACGCGTTCATGCGGTCCAAGACTTGAACCCTATCTGACTCCAGCAACACCGTCTCACAGCCTGTGAACGCAAGCAAGCGTATGCATAATATGTACACAGAGTAAGATCAGGTGCACAGATGCGAAACTGAGGGTACTCGATATCAAACATGCAGCAATGGCACACACACACACACACACACACACACACACACACACACACACACACACACACACACACACACACACACACACACACACACACACACACACACACACACATCATCATCATCGAGGAATGGACAGCTGCAAAATTCGTTGTTACACCGAGTTTCATGCAAAAGCGGCACTCACCAGACGACTTCAAATATGTACACACACATATACAAGTATACCACGTGGGAGCAACACAAAATTCCCCATACACACTTACATGCACACACTAACTCATTTTATCACAGCAAAATAAAATAATTGGTGCACTTCTCAAAGTTTGGTTGTTATCTGGCACAACACGTACCATTATTTTCACACATCATGAGCAAGCCACCACACACATCATGGGCAAGCCACCAAGACGGATCACAAACTATGTGGTGATCAATACTGAGAATTGGATTATGACACTTTCTCTTCCGCCAAGTGAATCAATAAGACCAAAACACAGGTTTTACTGTCTTCTATTACCACATTCTATTCTCATTTTGGTCTGCTCGAAGGCTATCAAATCACACCGTATACATACTGGAGTCGTGAGTGATGTTGTCGAAGGCGTTCATCACTGCAAAGTACGCTGGTGAACACGCTTCGCACAGGCACACTGGCTTGGCCCTGACAAGACTGCAGCCAATGAAGGCCTGCAAAAACAGGAGCAAACGAAAAAGGGGCAATGCCGACAGGATGGTTCACTGCTATGACGCAGATATGCTCCGTGGCAGAATATATTTCATGATGCCAACTATCAGCATCTATGTAAACTTGGGGGGGGGGGGGGGGGCATAAAACGTCACAAAATTGATTACAAATCGAGGCTATGTCGGACTGGCAACATAATAATCCGCAGCCTAAAATAAAATAATTCCTGAAGCTGCGCAAAAGACGCTGCATAGTAGCGTCTAGTGTGGACAGGGTCCACAGCGCTTCTGCCGGCATATGTCACATGACAGATCACGTGAGTGGCCAAGAAGTGTAGGTCACATGATGTCAGCCCCAGTTCTTATCCAGCGATGCGTATGTATGTACAATTAGACCTCTGTAAGATGTGTCCGCTGTCCGTATTGCAAAGACGTTTCCATCGGTTCGAATCAGGGTGTTGTATATAATATGTTTTTAAACTCTCTGTTTTAAATAACATGTATGATAATCTAGGTAAAGGCCAAGCACAGTGAGTACCCTGATGTGGCAGCTCTCTCTCTCTCTCTCTCTCTCTCTCTCTCTCTCTCTCTCTCTCTCTCTCTCTCTCTCTCTCTCTCTCTCTCTCTCTCTCTCTCTCACTCACTCTCTTTCATTCTTTCTCTCTCTCTCTCTCTCTCTCTCTCTCTCTCTCTCTCTCTCTCTCTCTCTCTCTCACACACACACACACACACACACTCTTTCGCTCGCTCTCTCACTCTTTTTCTCTCTCTCTCTCTCTCTCATGCTCTCTCTCTCTCTCTCTCTCTCTCTCTCTCTCTCTCTCTCTCTCTCTCTCTCTCTCTCTCTCTCTCTCTCTCTCTCTCTCTCTCTCTCTCTGTGTCTCTCTCTCTCATTCCTGAGCTATACCCCAAAGTGGTGATAAAGGTTACCTCATCAAGTGATGTAGCACATCTAGCATAGCCAGGGTCGGCGACCGTTATTACGTATAGGCATGTGTACGGGGCAAGTGTTGTTCGCATGTACTACATGACCGTATGATCATGTCCCAGTTTGAACCCACAGCATACTTCTTGAAGAAAATGCATTTCTGTTATAACGAACTTCGGCTATAAAGAACTAATTCTCCTGCACAATGGTGTTCATAATATCCGGATTCGACTGTAACTGATCAAGTTATTTCTATGATGAATTATAAAATTTATAACTTCTAACGCTATACCTAGATTGCAAGAGAGCACTGGCAGAAGAAATGCCCCGCACATGATTTAGTATTTTTGTTGTACTAACCACATTTGACCAATGGTGGCATGGTGCATGCATTATTGTATTTACCTCAGCGTACTGTCCATAATCCACGAGCAGTTTATGGCAGGGCCTTGAGAAACTGACATCCGTCATGCCGGCGGTCGTCACGCTAGAATAGGTCTCTGTCAGCTGCGTTAGCTCCACTTGAATGTCGAACTCAGAAACTGTTGCTTCATCGGTCACTTTCTTTTCGGGCAGTCGAAATCCATGCGCATCGCACATCAGCTGATCGCCGAGGGGAACTGGATGTACCCCCGAGCATGGTGCTCCTAGAAACACCGAGGTCAGAGCCAAAGAGATTACTATTCCAAACTCCATTGTGCTCAAACCCTGGCCTGGTCGGTAGGATTGGTACCGAGCTGTTCTCTCAATGTCCGTCACTACACAAAACGCATACCGGTAACATGTGAAGTAAACAGTGACAGAGTATTACAAAAAGCGGCATTACAAAAATAAGCCAATGTCGCAATGAGTAGGTCTACGCGGTATACCATGGTATACGGGAAAGGAACGACACACTTTGTCATATCGCCGCCAATGCCATGCAAGCGCTAGCGCCGCTAGCGCTTGCATGCATAGCATTAGCAGCCCTGGTTTTCCACACATAAAATCGATGCGCAAATCGATGACTATAACCATGGTAACGTCGCATTGACCCAGCTACATCGAGCCTGGCCACATACTACTACAGTGGTCCCTCTATAATCCGGCACCATTTGTGCCACGAAAATCTGCTGGATTAGGGAGGGTGCTGGATTAACAAATCTGATTTACTGCTGCAATTATGTGCATGAAGAGGACATTTGGCTACTGAAAATTGTGCTGGTTTATCGAGGGTGCTGGATTATAAAGTGCCGGATTAGAGAGGGACGACTGTACTACTACATGTAGTACTAGTCTACAGTACTCAGGACAGTAGTAGATCTACTGAGTACTCGAGTCTAGGACTACCTTCTACTGAGTAGATCTACTGTGTACCCGCTAGCTCGCTCGGGGATCGGAATCGGCGACGACGACGACGAGGCGGATTGGTAGCCGGCTAGCCGGCGCCGGCGTCACAATCATAATCGGACCGTGATATACGTACATAAAAATTACTAATGACGTCATATGACATACTTCTCCGGCAGTCCGGTTACCTAGCTCCGGTACCGCGCGTCGGGTAATCATGGGGACTCGTTTCCCATCAATTTTTTTTAGTGCACTGCATGCATGCAATGCCAATAATATTTATTATTATTTTGTCCGGTGACAGTGTCTCGTGTCTCATAATCATATCGGTGGATCATCCATCCTGCCTCGGCATTGACTGACCTGTTGTTAGCAAACACTTGAACAGCAGAGATATACCCGCTATAAACGATCCGTTGGTCCGTTTGGCTGTGTCAACTGAACCACCGGCGAGCGGCTGGCGCTGACGGTAATCCAGGAAACCCATGGACACATACGTTTTACCAGAGAGTAAGTGACCTAGTCCTAGGGGTGTGACAGCACTACCCATGCGGACCTTCTAGTAAGTAATTAGTTTCCTGAAGCACCTAGCGGCGGTAGGAGTATGCCTCTAACGGACTTCGACTACACCTTCAAGGTTCTGATTGTCGGTAACTCGGGAGTGGGCAAAAGCACTATACTGGAGCGCTTCATTGGAGGCGATTTCAGGGAGAACCTTCCAAAGACGATAGGTAAGAGCAAGTGCAAGAGCAAATGGAATGGCCATAGCTCGCACTTGTGTATTATAATCAGTCTACATTTTCCCTTTTCATTCCCTCAAACTGATGCATGTACCTATGATCATTACAGTCATTCATAAGGTTGAGGGATTGAAATGGAATGACATTGCAATGATAATTATTATATTTTGTTTGACTTCACCTCACAAGTTTCCATCACCATATAAGAGTCGTACTGTAACTCAGTTGGTTGGAGCGTTGCTCGTGAATAGCGACACCCATAGTTCGAGTTCCGGTGATGACTGATGATATTTCTTTCTTTCGTACCCGACTTCCAAGTGATGAGTTTCGGAGAGAATAGAGCAAGCAATAGGTAGCTGGCCAATTTCCTAGAACTTCTCCTTATCAGGCACATCAGCACATCAGCACTGTCTTCCCCTCACCATCCCTGCATACTATAGTACCTGTAATCAATGGGTGTGCATGCATGGTGGCATCTTCCGTATCGGACTGATGCATCAGCTTGGGCATCACACATAGTCGATGACGCAATAATATCTTGCTGGATTGAATCTCGAGTTTTGCCCCCCCCCCCTCCCTCAGCCCTGGACACCTTAGGCAATTTCAGGCGGAGGAAGTGTTTACTTACAATGCCTATACTATGCAGGGTGTCCAGGTATTAGCTGTTCTGTCCGGCTGTGGACTGCACTTGCATCACAAGGAGAAGGCCTTAAGGGTGAGGGTGTGATGTGTTCTTTTGTTTCTGTCCTGCAACTCCACTGGGCAGGTGTGGACTTCAAGACCAAGACTCTCAAAGTAGATGGATCCCGTGCCAAGCTACAGCTGTGGTGGGTAGCAATGTAGTGCAGAACTGCAGCAAGTGTGCAGTAATTTTAGGTGCCCGGCGACTGCATCATAGTAAATGGACCATGAGCATTCACGATAGGTATTCCTAGGCCCGAGAACCATGCTTAGATACTAGTGTACTATATATAGACGTACACATGCAGCAGCACCGGGACACCATCTACTAGTGTCCGCATGAATAATCGATTTCCGCTGCACCACGAGATGGCCGGAAAACACGAATACCGGTACACGGATTTGACTGTGCATTCATTGCGCTGCACAAATGTTTTTAGCACATTGCTGATTGTGTGGGGCCGATTGTACAGATAGAGATAGGCTAATGTCTGACGTACACAACTGCGTAGTCAAGCATCTCTTCTGATTGTCTGCGGCAATGCTATGCTTTTCCTCACAGGGATACGGCTGGACAGGAGCGATTCCGAACCATCACAAACACGTTTTACCGTGGAGCAGTGGTACGTAGATGCATGGATGCAGTGAATGGGATTTCGGTCTTTGACCACTTGGTGGTGGGTCTGATCTACTCACCTCCCACCGTTTAGGCGCTGCATCTGCGCCTTGATCCTAGAGGGTGCTGGCGTTCCCACGGCGGATGCGGAAAACTCGACTTCCAGCCGAGTCTCACGCGAACCGTGAATTTTTTTCTTTTTTTAGTGGTACGTAGCCGGTAGTGTGACTACGCTATGAGTGTAATCTGAACTGTTCCCCATGGCTGACATGGCACTAGTATCACCTGTATCACCTGTACCAGTGAATTGTACCTGTGCTTTAGCCTAATGCATTTGTTGGTGTCCTAGTCCGTCCCGGTAGCAGCACTGTGTGCTCGTTCGGTAGGTCGTAGGCATTTGAATTCCTTTTAAAGCTGTCGATACAGTGTTTAGCAACATAGCTACATCTATGTCTGGACTGCATACCATGAAGATGAATTGATGCCGTGCTGGGCCGTGGTGCATTTCACAGAACACAATACAGAACTGTGCAACTGTGTACAGTAAGTATCGTTTATAAAGTGACCGGATATAATGATATACCGGTTATAGTGATAGAACACGTCAAAATCAAAATCAAATCAGAAAAAATACAGCTAAAATATCACTATATACACTATTATCGGCTATACCGATATATCGCTTATTGTGATGGACTTCAGGAAGCAAACCATATCAAATGTACAGGAAAATATCGCATATAATGATCAAGAGTGATGATCACAAAACAATTGTTTTTTCAATAAAGTTCACTTCTTCCAAAAACTGATCCAGTGTTGCCTGGTTGCATCTGGCAGCAGACGTGGCTGAGAGAAAATTCTCAATTTTAGACAGGTGTCCCTGTATGCTGTGGTCACGAATGTCACTCGACGTACTCATGATCTCTTTTTGCACCAACCCATTATTTTACCTGCACACACATGTCCGTTTCTGGCTGTGCTACCCCTCGCAATGTGCTCCCTTTGTATGCTCTTGTCCGTTTCTGTATGCACATGTCCTTTTCTGGCTGCGCTACCCCTCGCTCCCTTTGTATGGTCTTGTCCTTTTCTGTATCTTTCTGCATGCTCTTGTCTGTTTCTGGCTGTGTTGCCTCTCACACAGTCCGCGGAGCATGCATGCACTTTCAGCATGCTTTTTCCAGCGTGTACGCATCATTTCATGTGCAGTCATGTGCCATGTGTCGGTCAAACATGCGAATCGGCTATAGTGATGCACCGGATATAGTGATACATTTTCGAAAATCAAAGGGGCACGTTATATCCGATATTTACTGTAGTTCTGTTCAACTGTGTGCCGGCCATGGGCTTCAATTGGCTACTGAGTGTTCACGTTGGAGTTGATCAGTATGACCATGTCATAGCTGGTACCTTGCAACAGAATTATAACATGCATGTATGACTCATATCTAGTGTTAGGAAGTAGTAGAAATGTATCATCATGTTTCTGCTCGCGGTTATGCTGTGTGCCCGCAGGGTGTTGTCATAGTGTTTGACGTCAGCGATTCCACCTCGTATGCGGATGTAATGAGATGGGTGGAGAACGTTAGATCCGTAAGCAAATCAACAGCGTGAAAATCAACATCAGTTGTGGATTCGTATCTCACATTGACCGTGGTGTCTGTAGCACCCATGGCGAGTCCTTGAAAATGTCCAACGGCCTGGTGAAGTTCCGCATACAGTGCAGCTTTATCGGTGATATTTTTTGCAGATTGTTCTCGTTGTTTCATGAATCAAAAATGGGCCTTGATTCTTGAGCGATGTCGCCAGTCGAATGTATGCAATGCATGTCCCCTATAGGGCTTCTGTTCTCTCATCTTTTCTCTGTGTGCTCTGGTGTGGAGAACTGCTTGATGGTAACTGTGACTTGTTGTCACTACCTGCAGGAATTCCTGGACGCCGAGCTGCCAGTTATATATGTGGTAGGTAACAAGTGTGACCTGGAGGAAGGCCGCACGATAAGCAACAAAGACGCACGCAAGGTAAGCAGTATGGCAAGTGGCAATGGCTGAAGGACTATGATTCTTAAGTGCGACTTCTTGGTGGAGGAATGGTGGCACTGGGAGCGACACTGACCATAGAGTCTACTGGGAATCATGATATACACTGTAGTACAATCTGTAGTACAGTCTTGTTCCTTGTTGAACATCCAGGCACGTAGCGCGTGTATAGTCAGCGTAGTCCGATCACCACACCAGAAAATGGCCGTCATAGGTACTGCGTAGTCAAAATAGGCAAACTGGTGGCTATGAGGTTGCCGATGGTACATAGTCACCACGCCACAGATGCACGGTATGATACATGGTCACCACACTACAGATTTGTGAGCTAGCTACGCCCCTGAACATCTGATATTTGGCTAGCTGCCGGATCATCCTCTCCTTGTGTGTCCATTGGGGCTGGGGGAAGGAGAGGCAGAGGCGACATGCGTTCGCCTCACGAATGGAAATCAAACTTATATTTTTCCCTGTTTCCAGCCATCGGACCTCGTTTAGTCATCTTCTCTGTTAATATTGTTGTTGGTGATGGTGCTGCTTCTGTTGCTGGTGCTGCTGTTGCTGGCGGTGGTGGTGGTGCTGCTGCTGGTGGTGCTTCTTTTGCTGGTGCTGGCGGTGGTGTTGCTGCTGCTGCTGCTGCTATCTCATTGTTGTCATCGCTGCTCCTGGTCCAGTTTGCTTCCCAGCGTGGTTTCTCATTCATGGATATCAGTGCTCGTTCAGGGAGCAATATAGAAGAGGTAGGGCCGCAGCATTTATGCTGAAACAATGTTATGTGTAAGTGCTTTTTCTTAAAGGGGAAGTTAAGGCAAAAATTAAAATTTCACCAGTTGTAGTCTTCGGGGTGCTGAGTCGAATGGTCTTGGTCCGAGAAAGCTGAGACGCTCCCTTCCTACTTGAATCCCAATTGAACTCGCGCACTTCCACCGAAACTGGGTGACTGCGCCCTGCTAGATGGGGATTTGTATGCAAAATGTCACTAAAAGCGCCATTTCGTTCTTATAAAAGCACGGATGACCGCGATTGGCCCATATGTTGTAGTCTTTTGGACACTGAGTCGACTGGTTTTGGTCCGAAAAGGCTGCGATGCAGCGTTCCTCCTTTATTCCCAATCGAACATGGTTGAAGAAGCGGTCACGTGCTCCTGGGTGCCCAAATCACCTGGTCACCACGCCAGCAGGCGACAACTTTCACACCAAGGTTCAACTCGAGTGACAGGACTGCACCCAAAAAAGGTCAAACAGGCTAGTCAGTTGTACCCTGCAGGCACGGTGACCAGGTGACTGGCGTATGCAGGAGCACGTGGCCGCTTGTTCAACCATGTTCGATTGGGAATAAAGGAGGAACGCTGCATCGCAGCCTTTTCGGACCAAAACCAGTCGACTCAGCGTCCAAAAGAGTACAACATATGGGCCAATCGCGGTCATCCGTGCTTTTATAAGAACGAAATGGCGCTTTTAGTGACATTTTGCATACAAATCCCCATCTAGTAGGGCGCAGTCACCCAGTTTCGGTGGAAGTGCGCGAGTTCGATTGGGATTCAAGTAGGAAGGGAGCGTCTCAGCTTCCTCGGACCACGACCATTCGACTCAGCACCCCGAAGACTACAACTGGTGAAATTTTAATTTTTGCCTTAACTTCCCCTTTTAAAAAATAATGTACATTATTGTTTTAAACCTGGCTGTGGTGTACGATGTTCTTAATGTTCCCTAGTAGGTCTAATGGACAACTGCATGTTATGACATTGGTTTTATATTGTAACTGTCTTTTCAAGCGTGTAACTTGGCTTTCTACAATTGTCGTTCTTGTGCAGCTTTTCCGTAGGTTAGCGGCTGACATACTTCAAGATAAGGTAAGCCATAACCTGCTTAGCTCATGCTGGCAACGTTGGCTCTTTTTATGGTCAATTATCGCGGGTTGAACTATCAGTGATGATCGGTACAGTGCTGGTCAAGGTTAAACCCTGTATCGTGACTAAGTTCGCACACTGCACCAGTACCCCAGCCTACGCAGCGTTCACATGTCTGGGTCTGCACAGCTATGCAACGCGCTATGTTGGCTCACATCAGCGGATTTCGTCGAGCAGCACTGTAGTTCGATTCCTGGATGTTGCATTCCGTACCGGTACTCGCCTTTTCTGTTGGGGAATATCACTCTGTCAGGCTTCATCAAAACAGTGTAGATGGTGTATGTGTGCCGGAATAAAACGTCTGACCAGTTACAGCTATACCGGGTGCAACAGAACAGGGTCACCGCTCCGGGCTAGCATGTTTCTATTTCGAGATTCCACCGTTGTCGTTCTTGCATTGTGCTTGTACATTGACATGGTATGAGAACACAGGAGTGAACTATTCGATGATAACAAGCTGGTGTGCTTAAATCTTTGGCTCCCGCCTGCGCGTTCTTATTAAATGTTAGTTACTGTCTAGCGTAGGTGTTCTCCGGTACTCTGTGTTACTGTATGCTAAAAGAAAATGTGTGTGTGTGTGTGTGTGTGTGTGTGTGTGTGTGTGTGTGTGTGTGTGTGTGTGCGTGCGTGTGCGTGCGTGCGTGCGTGTGTGTGTGTGTGCGTGCGTGCGTGCGTGCGTGCGTGCGTGCGTGCGTGCGTGTGTGTCCCATATGGTGCAGTGGTATGTGCAGTCGATTTCCAATCGAGAGATTGCGGGTTCAATTCCCGACGATTATGGTCGCACACGTCTTTCTTCTCTTTCTCATTCTCCTAGCTCTTCTTTCATGCTCCTGGGTGGTTACCAACAGCCAGTGTATGCCGGAGTATGTCGTGTGGCGTGTGTGTGTAAAAAAAAAAGAATAAAAAAATGGAAAAAATGGAAAATAGGGATTCACTGGCCAGAAAAAGCCGCTTCAATCAGCTGTGTGGTGGATACCAGACTAAAATTAGTGGCGGTCAATTCATCAGCCTTGCAAGCTGTTGAATGGTGTAATCCCAGCACAAGCTGCTGTCTAACATAGCTGTTCGCTATCATCGCTTCCGCGATGGGCAGGTCTGAGGTCTGAGGTGTGTGTGTGTGTATGTGTGTGTGTGTGCCAGCTAGTTCGGTTGGTGGGTACACTTATGCCTGATTGTGTTGGGTATGTTGCCAATGGGCTCGGCGGCTTGAAGGTGTAATGTTGTACCTGCCACCTTTGTGGGTTCCAGGGTTCAGATACTTTCTATTCGAAGTTTACATACCTGTTAACCATGGACTTCTTCTGGCTAGATTAACTCTTGTGTAATCAATGGTGCTAGTGAAGCTTATATCAGATCCACTCTGATTTAGCCACCCACACTAGTAGCAAGTATTACCTTCACTGGGGGCAGGGGTAACTGCAGTTGGATCCCTGGACGGATACCCTGATGCCGTCAATCCTTTTTCTGCACATTGTCCTCGCCCACTTACTGAGGTGTGGTGAGCCCATAAGTGGGATCACTTTCAAGTCCACCCAGAGTTTTGGGGATTTCAGGGGGTGTCGGCCGTTGGGCGGTTCAATAACCAATTGAGTCATCTTTCCAAGATTCCTTTTGAGTCTCTCTTCCCTCTCTCGAGGAGACCCACGTGACCAATTTTGGCAGTGAGCAACAAGTACAAGTGTGTGTGTGTGTATGTGTGTGTGGGTGTGTGTGCGTGGGTGTTTCTCCCTCTCCTGTTGCGTGTTTCTCTTTCTGTGTACCCCGGCGCCTATCCACATTGTATCTATCTATTCTATCCATCCACTGTTCCTGTACATGTGTTATGTACCTGTGTCTATATGGGTGCTGCAGCAACTGCTCACCCGCAGTACCATGCTATCTGAGACCGTCAAGCTATCATCTCACAGCTACGACACACATAGCAGCTTCTATGGCGAGAGACAAGCAAAAGGAGGGTGCTGCAAGACATCATAAGCGTTACGGCTTGTTCCTAAACAATCGACATTGAGAAACCCACACTGTACGCTGAATGCATCAGGCACGCTTACCGCAGCATATCGCACCCTAGAAGCATGCAGGGGGTTATACGTAAGTGTGCCAATTTGTTTATGCGCACACTATATCCATGTTGCCAGAGCTGTTCTCAGGTCGTTGCCTTCCCTCACTGCATCATTCTCCAGTCATCTCTGTGTCTGCTCACAGAATTGATGCACTGCGTTAGGGCAGCATGTTGTAGCCCTTTGCCCGTGTCACAAAGCCACTACACACTTCAGCAAAACAAGTCAGCGGCTTGGAGCCAGGTTCATATCATGGCATCTCTTGCCATTGCGTATTATATTTTGACTTCAGATTGTAATAGAATATTTTGCAGCTAGAGAATCTGTGCTGGCCACAATTTTTTTTAAATTCCTCAACAATTCATTTTACCAATTCAAATTCTCATCAAGCCTATATCATACAAGTTATTATCACTAAAACTTGCATTGCTGCATTCTATTCATTATATATCTGACTACATAATATGACGACTAATGGTCATTATGAAACTGTCAAATTTAAGCCGTACGTGTTAGCATAACTTCTAAATATGACTCTATTCGCAATGGTTGCACGAGCTTCTCAGGCTGGGGATTTGCAATGTTTTTCACGATCACACTTCAAAGGTTTCTGTTCTATTCAATTCTATTCATAAATTTAGAATGTTTCCGAGTCTTTCAATGTGAGCGCATGCTGCGTGGCCTAGGCTAGAACTCCGCCGTCCGTGCTCTCCATCTCCATCAAATCCAGCAGTGAAGGAGTAATGTCAATGTGCCTGTGGAAGAAGAACGCAGGCCACACACAGCACAGCATGGGTTACTTGTAAAAATGTGTACGGTGGCGACTGTGACCTTAATTTCTAGTTTGAGGAACCTCTCAGGTGGATGTTCCTGCTGTTGTGTGACAACAAGGGGCACTACTTGTATCACAAAACACAATAGGGGATTCTCCAGGACCACTGAGCTAGAGATGTGATAATTGGTTTGAACATTGTAACATGTGATACACAGTGACTAGTTAGTTATGTCCACTTGAACACCGCATCATTAAATTTTTCGTTCTCATGCACACATCATAGTAATAGTTGATCCTGAATGCGCTATTGTTCGCAATCTCTCTCTCTCTCTCTCTCTCTCTCTCTCTCTCTCTCTCTCTCTCTCTCTCTCTCTCTCTCTCTCCCCCCCCCCTCTATCTATCTATCTATCTTTCTCTCTCCTCTTCCACAAAGGAAACTTACTCCGTTCCTCCAGTAGTAGCCCTGTCGTCGGTGTCCGCACCTTGATCAACACCTTCAGGTGATCTCACCTGCCAACTTGTCCTGTGAGAAACGATACGGTAACATAGAGCTATTCCGTCATGCAGTTACTCGTGGTCATAGGCGAGAGTTCATTTCTGAACGTACTAAGGTAGATAATGCACAGCTCAAGTTCAGCCATAATATTATTGTATTGGTATTGTGCTTGACAGAATGCAAATGAACAGCATATAAATGCACAACTTTTAATAGAATCAGGTGATAAGGTGCTAATTTCCCTGACAGTGGAATACGGGTGCTCGACCAAATCAATCAATCCACATTTACTACGCGTAACAGGGGTGTCAAACATGCTACGGTCACTGCAGTACTGACTGTACAACTATTTGCCCCACATACCCCGTGAATCAATAAAAAATGCATTTGTTTGGGCTTTAAATTTCGAGATTTTTCAGCAGAACCCCACCCTCCCAACAACAACAATTAATTGAATCGCAGATTCCTGACCAGGCCACCCTAAATTACCTTCCGACGCCCCTGTGTAATGTTCATTAGATATGGTAGGGTGGATGCAGAGCTCCACAAAATAGAACCATTGATAATATACAACCTCCATGCATCAGCACTTACGAGCTTGATCGCCGCATTGGTAGCTGACTCAAATTCTCATTGACAGGAAGGCCTAGAAGGGAGTGTCTGCAAGAACACAACATTATGTTCAGTGGTAAGAGAAGTTGCAGAACGTAGTAGAAGTCCCCAAAGGAGGATCATGTTTTTCAATGATCCTCCTTTGGAGACTTGTACAGTGCATCGCACAACTTATGACTGGGTTGGAGTGGAGAGACGGTCTTTATGGCTAACAGCTGCTTGCGTGAGCAGAGGAGATGTCCTATGTCATTGCTATGACAGACGAACAGTTCAAGTAACATGTTATATGAGCACGAAGCATTTCCATCGTACCTGTCCCCCCCCCCCCCCCAATTGCACAGTCCTGTCAGTAGCTGATACTTGATAGCAGAGAGACCACCATTCAGTACACGTAACCCCGTTTGTAGAGGATTGACCAACATCATTGTGTGTTCCTCACCTTTTTTGTGTAGTGATAAATACGGGGTTTTCCTTCATCCTGATAAAAAACCCAGATAATGGAGCAGAACAAAATTTGTATACATTATGAGTTATCGGGGTTCAAGGCTAGTGAGAGCCACCCGTTCCTGAGCCCATACTAGAAGTGCATCAGCAGCGCTGTTTCACATGGGCAAGATAATGACAGTCATTATCTGTTGCAGGGGCTCCATTTTTTTCCCTTTAAAACTTCCGTACTGGGGCTACAGTTGGGGGAGGGGGCTTCGCCATGGCTTTACTCCTGTACGTGCCTTCTGTAGGTTACCAGTTGGTGACATGATGTGTTGGAGGCACATTGTTTGCAATCCCTTTGTGCATTGGAGCCTTTTGGCTTTTTTAAAAGATTTCTGCTCGGAGAGTTGAACAACGACTGGGAGGCATAGAAGTGCACGGGGCGGCTCCCAATAGTCTCTTTGGACGTTCCCCTAAAAAACTCCTTTTAAAAAAAGTAATGCATGGTTTTACGTACTCTTCTGGTAGTGCCGGGGGCTGTGTCTGTTGACGGGGCAGTATGTACTGCCTGACCAGTATGTAGACAATCAGTGCGGCACACACAATGCACAGGATTGTCACTGCTGCTATGTAGCCTTCGTTTGACGCGGATGATGATGGTGTTGATTCTGGACCTACGACATGTGGGAGAAATGAGCCAGGGTAGTCACGTGCATGCACACACACACACACACACACACACACACACACACACACACACACACACACACACACACACATGCACATACACACACAAACGCACCATACAGGCCAATATTGTTGCTGTAAAGTGTTGATAACACCAGAGGCTAGTCTGCACTGCATCATCAGTAGCGGTAGGAAGCTATGACATGCTGACCATCAAAATTATTACAGCTTCCACAGATCAAGTTTGATATACAGTGAATGTAGCATCCAACACGGTCACAGCCGCCATGCCCTCTTCCGCCCATCAATATGGATAAGTTGTATGCATAATTATACAGAACAGGTACATATGCCAACAGTATACCGGCATTCTAACTTCAAGCAACCATCCAAAGCAACGGGCCCAGACGGGATACCAGCTCAAGTCTTGAAGCATTGTTCCATTGAACTGTCATCCATTGTCGCGCAATTGTTCTCGCTTTGTTATCGCCATGGTGTCCAACCAACAATCTGGAAGCTAGCACACGTTGTCCCTGTCTACAAGAAGGCCGTGCGGTCAGCACCAGCCAACTATCGCCCAGTCTCTCTCTTATCCGTTCTATCCAAGGTCATGGAGGCTATTGTCAACAGTCAAACCACCAACTACTTGGAGAGACACTCCGTACTTCCTGACACCCAGTATGGTTTCCGTCCGAACCGGGGCACTGCTGATGTCCTCACGGCGCTGCACAATGAATGGGTCCGCACAGTTGCTGCTGGGGGCCATGCCCAGGTGATAGCAGTGGATATCGCCGGTGCATTTGACCGTGTGTCACATGCAGGGGTGATCCACAAGGCAGCACAAAAGGCCTTGGAGGGAAATTATTGCAGTGGCTCACGAATTACCTCTCGAATCGCCAGCTCAAAGTGGTTATACACGGGCAAGCATCAACACCGCTTGCAATCACAGCTGGTGTGCCACAAGGTAGCATACTTGGCCCCACGCTCTTCCTCCTTTACGTCTGTGACATCGACCAGTGCCTAACACCAGGCACTAAGCTGAGCACGTACGCCGATGATACTACACTGTACCATCTCGTGCTACCAACTGACGACCCTGCAAACCCCGGACACAGGCTCCAGGGGGCCCTCGACCGCCTCGATCTGTGGGGAGAATCGTGGCGCATCCGCTTCGAACCACAGAAATCGCAGCAACTGGTGATCAGCACGAGATCAGAAACCCCAGCGCTGGACCCTGTAACGTTTGGAGGTACCCCAGTTGCAAAGACTGAGACCCTTAAACTCCTGGGAGTCTCATTTGATGCCAAGCTGTCATTCCGCAACCACCTCCACAATGTCGCAGTCCGTGCAAGCCAACGACTGGGCTTTCTCCGACGAGCTGCCCACGTCCTGCCTCGGGGCGGCCGCCTGGCAATGTACAAAGGTTTCGTACGCCCAGTCCTGGAGTATGCCCCATTGGTCTGGATGGGCGCCTGCCAGACCCATCTCGATCACCTAGATCGAGTCCAGAGGAGGGCTCTGGACATCATCGGCCCAGGCACCCTCCTGGACTCCCTCAGTCTACGCCGCTCGGTTGCTGGCCTCACGTACCTGTACAAGCTACGCTCCACTGATGGCCCAGCGCAACTCACCGCAATGCTTCCACCTCCGGAACCGCCACGGCCTCACCCCAAGACTAGACGGCAGCTCGACGCCAGCCGCCACCCTGCCTACCTGAAGCTTGACCTCCCACACAGTGCCCCTAACTACATCCGCCGGTCATTTCCCTTCTGCCTCGTGGAAGTGTGGAACAACCTCCCAGCAGAGATGCTCGCCAACCTCCAGGTTAAGAAAATGCGGGCGTTCAAAGTGAATGTCCACAGGCACTTGCGCCACAAGCACTGGCTTTGGGCAACGGACAACAACTAGCGCCACCGATAATTCTCTCTCTCTTTCTCTTTCTCTCTCTCTCCCTCTCTCTCTCTCTTCTCTCTCTCTCTCTCTATCTATCTCTATCTCTCTCTCTCTCTTCTCTCTCTCTCTTCTCTCTCTCTTCTCTCTCTCTCTCTCTCTCTCTCTCTCTTTTCTCTCTCTCTCTCTCTCTCTCTCTCTCTCTCTCTCTCTCTCTCTCTCTCTCTCTCTCTCTCTCTCTCTCTCTCTCTCTCTCTCTCTCTCTGTGTCAGGGACCTATGTAAGCTGAAGCATGATCAACCTATATTATTTGCATTTGTGTTTTTTCTGATCTTCTCTTTCTCATTTCTGTTGCATTCTCAGATGCTCCCATAAGTCTATCATTCATAGTATGCCCCCTTGGCCCGCACAGTCCATGTCGATTCCGAGACCGAAATGGTCGGAGGAGTGCACTGCGCCTGACCAGCACAGCTCTTGTAGCACCTACTACTCCTTTGTTGTCTTTGTCTCTTTTATTAACCCTATTACTTTGTAGGGATGTGCACATAGTATATAAAAAATATAAAAAAAATAAAAAAGCAGTAGCTGTCGCTGACTTACCATCTCTGGGCGTTGAACCAGTGTCCAGGGCCAATGGATCTGGAGAACATATTGAGAAGCAATAGAAGCAATCATTCCCACCTACTGCGGCTTACACTAAGCAACCAAAATGTTTCGCTGAGAATCAAGAACAAATTGGCTTCTTGCAGTGGCTGAAAGATTCAGGTTCGGAACACTGCTAGATCTTTGAGAAAACAACACTATTTCAATTGTAGGCACTGTATGTATAGGCGAGTTCACTGAAGTAACCTCAAGCAATCGCCTGCATCTCCTTTTCACTCGACCACCATTATGCATGACTGTTGCCGGGAGTGTACCGCCGATCGAACCAATTTTAGTTAGTGAGAGTATGTGGGGGGCATTCAACTCAAGGCCAAGGGTGTCAGGATAACCGCTGAACATTATTTTCAATGACTTTTCACGAATGATCCATATGCACAGAGAGCAGCTGTAGAAAGTAATCAATTACAGCACAAACCTTGTCTTTGTGGACATGAACACCATTCGTCCAGAATGATACGGTCCACAGCAATGTCTCCCTGGAAGCCATTACCGCGGACACCAGTGAACACAACCTGCACACACAAACGATGATGAAGTGAGATATCATCAGAAAAATCACCAGCATCCAGATTTTTTCAATATTGTTGTCTGCTGATCGCCTACGGTGCATGAAACTCGGAGTCACAACGAATTTTTCATCCTCTTCTACTTGTTGAAAGTAGCTCTGCCCTTGGGCATTAAGCACTCTCTTGGACAGCCTGGAACCTTTCTGTTTTCAAAATCAAGGAGGTTCAGCAAGAGATATCAGCAATGAGATTCGACACAGGCCCGCTGGAACCGGTCCGGTTGGTCAGGTTCTTACCGGACCAACTTTTTGGCCACCAACAGTGTTTACAACTGTGGAGGGCATGTGTATCCACCAGATCGATACACAAAGTGTATGAAAGGCCACAATACTACCGGGCCAATCAAAAACTGCTTCCGGCGGTCCTGCGACAATAGCAGCTTGCCCAAAACCATGTGAAGTGGGCAATCTGTGAGCTTCAGTTTGTGTTTTGAAAAGTGTTACCACCTCGTGTACTATGCGCCGTGGATGAACAGCAGGGATGGACGAGGAAGAAGGAGAGAGGCTAGAGTACACTGCCCTTATCTATGCATCGCAGTACCCCCCCCCCCCTCCATCGCCACCATTACCACCGCAGAAATGCAGTGAACGTATCGAGTGGACATACGTACTCTAAACTGCGTCACGTGTTGCGGGATGTCCAGGTTGCCCGACTGTCTCCAGCCACTTGCACTAGTGGAGATGTTGCCCAGCACGATCGTCTTGTTCCAATCATCATTGGCGCGCACTCCGACCAGTAGATAGCCTACGTCCTGACCAAATATGTGAAAGCCGAACGACACCTTGCAGGAGAGAGCTTGCGTTTTCCTGGTCAGGATCGGCGATAGCAGGGTGGCTTGATCCCCGGCTGCACCATAGCTTGCATCAATGTACAGATAGTAGCCTGAATACCCAGAGGATACAAACCGAACAACTTACTTAAAACAAAACACGATTACATTTGTACCCCCCCCCCCCTTACAGGTGACATAATAAGGAAATGTGCCACGAAACTTATATTTCCACTGCCTGAGAATAGCTTTGCTGTGTGTCCTGCAATCTCCCCTGGGATCATGGATCCAGTGTGAAGTGTGCAAGTATGAACCAGCAGGTGTGACGCTGCTTCGCTCCTTTGTACTGTGCATGCACTGCTTACCCTTTCCATCGACGGATGTTAGATCTCCATCGGGTCCGGTCTGCTGCGATGGCGTCGACCCTTGCCAGCGCTGCCACTTGAAGGAAGGACCGCCGACCGAGTCCTTGGCCTGTTTCGGGAACGCATTGTACCATCCGTCCCAGCCACCGTCAAAGCCTATGTTGCGTTTGCACTCTGTACAAGAAGTATGGAACGGAGTAATTTCAATCATGTTTTATAGCAGTGGATCGGTTCGCGCACAGTATGATACTACAGTACTCTTTCTGCACACATATCATGGCTCATATCATGGCTGAATTCAGACTAGTTCACTTGAGCACTGAGCTATGCCTAATACTGGACCATAGTCCTGACAAACAGCAAGTCAGATACCGCTTAGTCAAATACAAGGTCCATGCCTGTGTGCAGGTACGATCTTACATG